AAAATTGTTCATGTATATAAGTCTTAAAAATCAGTTGTTCTTTCAGAAATATTCATCAAGGTGCCATTAAGTCCATGATATAATATTGATAAAAATGTCACCACTCATCATTACGTATTAACAAGCCGCGCAGAATTGAAAGAAACAGGCTATGATTATAAAAATCGGTTATAACTATAAACTGCGCCAGCCTTAGAAATATTAATCCTGATCCTCATGGAACCGTTGGATGAGCAGCGGTAAACCGAGAGTATTGGATCAAGATCAAGAAGAAGAAAAACATCGCAACCTTCTAATAGCTGGTTGTTAAATATGATAAATCGGAAGCACAAAATAAAGATAACCAGAACCATATCAAACCACAGTGGACTAGAATTAAAAAAAATGATCAAAATTAATATTGCCATAACTTAATAGTTATTTAATGTTTAAAAAGTCGAATTATCGGTTTATAAAGCCACTGAATCCAAAAGTATATTAATTTTTAAGTTTGAGCCAAGTTCAAATAATATTGACTAATAACATATTAGAACTTTTAAAATTTTTTTAACCATTTTGGTTATTTTTAAACTAATATATATATATATATATACGCCTTGATTACTTCTAAAGATTAATTAAAACTATATTCTAAAATTTCCTTTTTAAATCACTTTATAAATTTTATATATATATATATATATATATATTAGTGTTATTGCTAGATAAACAATGTAACAATAGATGATAGTAGAGAGCACAAAATGAATTCTGAATAAATAACAGTGAATAATTCTGAATTATTCACTGTTTTGAAACTATTAAGATACATTCGAAAAAAACAAATTCCTACAAGGAGTATTGCCTTGTTAAAAGTTAATTTTATTTTTCCTTTTGACCTATGGTGGATATTGTTGCAATATCATTTGAATTCATTATCATAGTGTTTTGTTACTACCATGTGATACTTATAACTCAATTCATTTATTAGGCTTGGAACTTATATTTCAAACACTGACTATCACTGGTATTTCCATGGTAACTATGTTTACCATTGACCGTGCTTAACATATATTTTAGTATGGAATATGTAGAGTAATTAATTTATCGTTGATAGCTAGATTTCTAATAAAACAATAATTAAGTTGAGGATTATTGTTTTGCTTTAGTTAGTACTATTTATTTCTTGAATTTTAAATATTTTGGTAGTGAAATGTTTTGCAGGTCAATCCCTTAATTCTTATAAAAGTAAAAACGTCTTTTTTTTAATGATAACATATATTTTAATATATTAAATGTTAGAGAGTGATCCATCTAAAAAAAAGTCAAAGCTTGGTTTGTAGCAAATTTTGAAGTTATTAACATTTTTAAATATATCGTGGTTCTAATAATGTTTTTTTTAAAAATAATAATCATCTAATTAATCCGTATCTGACTTATTGTCATCTATCTCATCATTATCTACCTTATACATTAATTGCATGTAATACTTTGGAAATTTTATTGCATCTATATCTTTTCTTTTTTTCAATAACCATGCTGAAATAAAATTGTGTTAATTTTAACGAAAATATTAAATTAAAATTTGATATGTACCTTCATAATACACATATTCTACTCTTTTAAAAGATTCTGCTATATCTTCTATGACATCATCATTCTTGATAACATTTCTTATGGTCCGTCTAAAATCATTTACAGGGATTTTCCCAGTTTTTGACTTATCTTTTCGACGAAACTCCATAAGAAATTTGTTGAAAAGACCCACCATTTTGTTTGGAATTTTGACATATGTATCATTTAAAATATGTGCAAAAATTCTGAGGCTTATATATTCATTTTCTAAAAGAAAAATTTAATTTTAAACACATAAAAATAGAACAACAAATATTATTTATTTATACTTTTATTTAAAAATATATTCTTTTAATGCAACAACTATAGTTTAATAAAAATAATTATAGATTGACATTTAACTTTGAAAATAAATCCTAAAGAATTATTTTATAAATATATTAATTTATACTGATAAAAAAATAAAATATTATTTGTTCAATTTTATGAAAAATAGGAACAAATGGGAAAAGGATCCTATATAAATTACATTGTTAATTAAATATTATGAATACAATTAATAAACAATTACTTTTTGTTTTTGAGATTTTAATTTATGGCGTAAATTTTCTTTCAAATAATGATTATTTTGTTTTCATTGTACTAATTATTTATTAATTTATAATCGGTTAAATATTCTTAAATCTACCTTCAGCGTCAAATATAGGGAGCTGTTACGATCGCCTAAATTACTGTATTATATTAAATTTTATTTTTTTACTTGTGTTAATAATTTTGTTTGTATTTAAGAGCATTGGTTTATCAGTGTTGGGTGTCGGCCGAGTACAATAGAATCCGCTGACTATCCCTTTTAGTTTAAGCCAGCCCGAATCATGCACTACCACCCCTGGACAGCCAGTATGATCCGACAGAAATACATTATACAAAAATTTTGTCAAAATATCAATATAGTCATTTGATTCATTCATTTATCGACTTACCGAATTCATTTTTTCACTGACATCACATTTACAGGGTTAAGGAGCATGAGCCTTTCCATTGTAAAAAAATTATTCTGTATACCTCTAAACTGAAGTAATCAGGAAATAAAATGGTTTAATATATGAAATTTTGTAAAAAATTTTAGTATATCTTTCTTCTCAATATGCACTTCTGTCTACGCTACTGACACTAACCATTTGAATAACATATTCTAAGTTTTAGGAAATGTTATAAAATAATCTAACAAAAAAAATGACTAATAGTTACAAATTTTAATCAAATATTTTAGCATTTACTATAATTTTTAAATGTGTAATGGTGATAAAGTGTGGATTAAAGTTTTTTTATCATAACGCATTATTTAATTTATAATTGTAATATAAAAATGTTCATTGAATGGTTGAAGAACAAATGAAGTCTAAAAATAAAAAACCCAGCACAATGGGGTCGCGGCACAGTGGTGACGTGACATAGTTGGATCAAGTATAATGATATTTGACAGTGATTAAAATCACTATCATAAAAAACGCTTCGATGCAAATCTTTAGATAGTGTTTAATTTTTAAAAAATTGATGGATTATTCCAAAAGCTACATGATCTGTTATTTTCTTATAAATATCCTAAATGAAGCACCAGCCTGGCCTTCTTCCACTTCGTGGGGAATTCACCCTCCGAGAGGCAGCGGTTCGCGACGGCGCGTATCCAGTCCGGGGCGAGGTCGTTTACCAACCCCCACACCCGGTTTGGAATCGCGTTTGGAATCCGGCCCCGCAAGCGCGCCACCGCGTCGGCCACCTCCTGGGTGGTGAATTTCTCCACCGACACGTCGTCCCCGAACGCAGGGGGAGGCAGAGGTGGGTGTGTCGGAAAGAGCGTGTCTACCGCCCTTTCCAACACTTCCGCCTCCAGTTGACCGGAAGCCGGTGAACCGCGGAGCTTCCGTATAACGATCCGGTAGGGTTTCCCCCACGGGTCGTGGTCCACCGACTTCATGAGTTCGTCCCAGCACTTCGCTTTGGCCCGCCTGATGGCGAGCTTCAGCTCTTTGCGGGCCGACCTCAGCGCCTCCCTCGGGTCCCGCGGCCAACGGTTGGAGCGCGTCATGGCCCTCCTGACCCTGACGCACTCCTTACGCCTAGCCGCCACCTCGGCATTCCACCAGTGTACTGGCGGTCCACGAGTCGACGGTGGTCGTTTGGCCGGAAGGGCGAAGTCGCAGGCTGCGGCCACCCTCTGGTCCAACTCTTCCGCCGCTTCATTCGCATAGACATGTCGGTCCGGTACCGCAAGCGCCGACCATTGAGAGAGCAATAAGCCCGTCTCGAATGCGTCGACGTCCGTGGCTGGTCCGACCCGCCAGCTCACTCGCCCACCGCGAGACGTCTCGCGGGGACATCAAGCATCTGTAAAAAAAAAATTTTATTCATATGTTCATTTTTGAAAAAGTTACGCCAGTTTTTAGTAAAAAAAAATTGAAAAAATTTCGAAAATTAGCGATTTTTAAATTTGTAATTTTTTTGGAGGTTTCCCCCATTTACGGAGAACGGGGGAATTTTTTTCAATTTTTAAGGGTAATGTCTTCGACTAGATACGATTTGTGATCTTTTGACGTATCGTTGAAAGAAATCCGTTCGGTGAGAGCTGAGAAAAAGTGG